GTCAGCAGGTAGCTTTCAACTGGTGAGGGTGAGAGAGAGAGAGAGAGAGGGGGAGAGGATTGTTGGCTACTGTGAACGCTCGTTGCTTCTCTACCGTGCTCTCGTTATGATGCGCGTAATGAGAACGTCGAAATTCAGACTGATCCCTTTTAACGCTCTACCTGCTCGTCATTCCTCTAATTCGCCGTGAATATCTGCCTCGACGCGAGACGCATCGACCGTATCGAAATTAGTTAGCCGAGCTTTCCTCACGTCTCTCTACATGTGTCTCTCTCTATTCCTCTCTGAGTGATACATTGTGGAAGATTCTCTTTTGGGAAAACCTCTCTCTCTCTCTCTCTTTCTCCTTCCATTTTTTTTGTCTGAGTGATATTGTCGAAGACTCTTTTTCTGGGGAAAGTGCTCTCTGTCTCTTCTGTCTCTCCCCTGTCTCCTCTTTTCTCTCTCGCTCTCTGTCACCTCTCTTCTCTTCTTTTCTCTCTCTCTCTGTCGCCTCCCTTCTTTTCTCTCTGAGTGATATTATCCAAGACTCTTTTTTTGGGGAAAATTGCTCTCTGTCTCTCCTCTATGCCTCCTCTTCTCTCCTTTATCTCACCTCTATCTCCCCTCTATGTCTCCTCTATCTCTTCTCTATCTCACCTCTTTCTCTCCTCTGCCTCTCCTCTGTCTCTCCTCTCTTCTTTTCTCCCTGAGTGATACTGTCGCAGATTCTCTGTGAAAAATTGCTCCCCCTCGCTCTCTTTCTCCATTTCTATCGGGCATTTCGAACACAGTCGTCGATATATTTATTTCGACGTCCACGGGCCGCCGTTAAATCAAGAAAAGCAAAACAGCGTTCGATCGTTTAACGAGGTCATCGACAGGGAGCGATATAAAAGAAGCATCGAAGACGTACGGCGTCCTAATTTCACAGCTCTGCAACGACCCAGATAACACGTTTTAATTGCTAAATTAATGTTCCGTATCGGCGCTATAATATCGGAAACGAATCCCCCCCGGCTCGGACCACATTTTAACGATTATACGTCGTGAAAACGTATATTTAATTGGACCATTAAAAAAACGCCGCGGTAAAGCGTTTTAACGTGGAATTGAAAAGATCCAGAGGGATGAATGGGGAGAGCCTGGGAGAGGGAAAAAATTCAGCTTGTTCGACGGTGGAATATATACGGTACGTACTTTATACTACACGTATGTATATAATACATATATATATACATATATCTAAAAAGGAAAATGAGAATCATTTCGGTGTTGGATTCGTTCGCTTCAATCGACCTCAATTAACGTTGTAATAAACGTGGAACGAAAGAAAGAAAAAAAAAAAAAAAGAAGAAATACGTGTAATCGTCAATTTTTATTATCTGCCCGCGAGGCTGGCCGTACTCCTCGAAGTCGTTATAAAACGGGAGTCCGGAACGAGCTCGACCTCGTGGCACATTTTCGCTTGGTTCGAATCGCGGAGTCGAGGCCCCTAAATAGAGCCGGTATCGCTCCTTCTGACGTTTCTCTCTCCCTCTCTTTCTAGCCAGACTCGCGCTATCATCCGGAGCCCGCTCTATAGTAATTAAAGTAATGAGGAATAAACCGCCTCGGGAGAATTGTAATTTATCCGCGAGAGGATTCCTCCCGCCAACAAGCTCGTTATCGTGCCACGAATCCACGTTATCTTTGTCCCTCTAGCCAGGCGAACGAAAAAGAAATTTGAATTTCTTCGTATATTATCCTTAACCGTGTTTAATATCTTTCGCTTATCAAGAGGATTCGAGAGAATGGTAGTTGAAATTCTGGTAAACGGAATAACGAAGGAAACGCGGTATGTATCGTAGGATCGCGAGCGTTTTTTCTTGGAAAATGAACGACGAGGGCGATAAAAGTGCAGACTGCAGAAAGCGAGCCTTTCTCGCGAGGCTCGCCGCTAGTTTTAAAACCTACAGGAAAAAGGCAAGGAGTGCGTTGTTTGGCTCGTTCGAAAAAGTTGACAAAAAGAGGAGAAAAAGCTATAATTCACGAAATAAAAGAGTAAATTATACATATGCTGAAAATTTCATCGAAATCTTCAGATTTGTTATAGGTATAGTGGGATTTTCCCAATCTTTAACCGTTTGTAGCTCGTAGCAACGTTAACCGATTTCGATGAAATTTTCAGTACGTGTACAATTGACATAAATCTACAAAACGTATATTTTCAATTTTCATTACAAGCTCGGATAAAAAAGTTGTTAAACATGACCCTTACAATTTTCTAAATCTAATTCTAATTTTCAAATTGCAATTTTTTCCAAATTTTTTCTACACGTCACCTAGTACACCAATCCTTCCAACTTCTCAAAAAACCACAAGTCGTTAGGTTCAATTTTAAAAAAGTTATACTGTTCTAAAGACTGTCCGAATATCGGTGGGAGTCACTTTATGCACAAACGAAGGATCGTGTAGAAGGTATCGTTAAAAGAGGCACTACGCACGTACACAACTAAGCCTGGAAAAATTGCATAAAAGCAAAAGTCGCTAATTCTTCCACGAGTAGATTTTTATACGCGTTCTCCACCCGCATTATGAACAAGGTAGGAGTAACCTACGCAAGAAAGGGACGCGCGTGTACGCGGCAGCGCGTTAAACAACGAAGAAAACTCGAAAAGGATTATTCGTTCACGTTCCAGCATAATAGATTAAACTTCCTCCTCTCCTAAGAATTACGCCCGGATGGAATTACTGTAGCAATACGTAGCACGTGAAGCTCACGCGAGAAAAAGAGCGAAAGAGAGAGAGAGAGAGAGCAAGTCCTCTTATAAAAGTTTCAAGCAGTTTTCTAATTTAAAACTCCCGCCACTTGCCCCCTTCCCATACGGTTCATTAAAACCCTATTTTATCGCGCGGGAATATTTATGTAAATAGCGTGAATCCGCGTGAACTTCTCGAGGAGAAGCGGCTTTTATCGGATGCCTACGAAAAGATTAAAAACGCTTCTTCCTTTATCCGACGAGATAAAGACAACTCGGAGGATTAACGCATTTCCGTTCAGGCCATTTGTATTTCCGCCTGTTGGATTATTAGGAGGAATGAGTGTGTAGTAGTAACAGCAAAAATGATCAACATACTGAGACAGATTAATATAAACACACATATATAGAAGAATAACATAGTAACCATCTGTTTAGTATGGGTGGACGCTGATATGCTTTTTCTAGCGTCTTGTCGACATCTCATGATTGCATAGAGACGTGCCTTCCTCGCGTGTAAAAGAGCAAAGAAGAGTTTATAATTGAAATATCATCTTTTAATTTATTACTTAAATCCAATACCGTCTTTTCCTTCCGTTGACTTAAACTGTGCAATGACGGCGGTAATTTGTTAAAACAAAAAGATTTCCTTTGCTCTATAATGCATCTTAAACGTTACCTTTTTCTTGACGACACTTAAAGCGCCGGCCATTTTGTTGGAAACTTGACTTGCAGCGCCGCCATATTGACGAGTTTTGTAGAAACATGCACTTTTACGAAATAAAATAAAATAACGCTTGTAAAACGGAAAGTTTCTATTGAAAAGTTTGACATAGTGCTTATTACAGGCACAGCGACGATTTTTAATCACATAAATATTCAGCCACATGCTGTTCAAGAGATATAATATTTTTTTCTGCACAAACATGTAGAAACGCATTTAGGCGGGCCCGGCTAAAATCGCTAGTCCACGTATTACGCCTTAAAGTGATAATAACGACTCGATAGATTGCATTAGGAGGAATCATACTCCTCAACAAGATTGAGTGTTATTAACTTCCCCGAGAAAAGGAGGAAAAGAGATCGGTCCATTGATCCACATAGCGACGATTCGTCTGGCTGCAACGGGGGTCTGCTCTAAAGTGATAACAATGATTTTTGCAATCTTATAAATATTAGAAGACATATAGGATTTTGGGCGACGGTGGAATAAACGTATACGTGAACGCGTTTGAATCTTTTATTGAAAAGGCGAGACGCAATGTCTCGCAACGCTGGTCGATGTCGCTCGTGCAACTTTCGGCGGTTGACCTCCCTTCGAGTCGTCGGTCGGGATTTTGGCTGCCCTCGGATCTCAAGTGCCTCTCCGCTTTCCGAGAACAGCCATCGGTATCGATGCCGACGAGTGACACGTCCGTTGCGTGTCTTTTTGGCGTCTCGTTTAGATTGTACATACAATGTGGCGTCGTGCGCGCTGAAAGGGCCGCTACACGTTCAAAAGCAGAACTGTTAGTCTCGTCAACGTGGGTCACATATGACCCACGTTGCGTGGACAGAAAGTCGCCGAAAATCGGTTGTTGCGTCCCGCACACCGTGTATTCTCGTGTGGAATACGACGGGTTGTAAGGCCCGTCTCAGATTGCTTCTGCCGTTGCTGTAGAAACGCTGTTTGTTACTGTGGAATACGACGGGTTGTAAGGCCCGTCTCAGATTGCTTCTGCCGTTGCTGTAGAAACGCTGGTTGTTACGAAATTAATCACTTCAGCCTGGTTATGGGTGTACTAAGTTACACTTCGCTGCTGTTTACTGAATTCTTTATTTCTGGAGTGTACGAATGCGAATGAAATGATGTGTGCGACGGTTGACTTGTAACTGCTCAAGGGTAAAAAATGTAACTGTCTGGACGAGGGAGGCTATGAGACGCGGGTGACAGGGGAATGCTTGTGATTTGGCAGGAAAATGAAGTGGAAATGGTAACGGTGAGATAACTGGTTGTTCGGGTGCGTGGTACGTGTGCTGTCGAAGATAAAGGCAGAAGTGCCGAGAATCGGGGTTTTTCCCAAAAAAACCGTTGCCAGTCCTTCTGCCCGTCGATGCTCGCGAAAGGCAAGGCTTGCCTATTGCTCCGCGGCGGCCTTCTCAGGTACCGTAATGGTACGTCGAGGGCTGTCCAAAGGACGCGGCTCAACATCGGTCTAGCACTAAAAATATTAAACGGAGAAACCAACTAGAACATTTCCACGATAAAAAGTAAATCTCTTTGAAATCTACTTGTTTCAGGACACCGACAGGCTTGGAGGACGTCAGCAAGTATCCTGAACTGTTCGCGGAGCTGTTGGCCCGCGGTTGGTCGGAGAAGGATATTCAGAAACTGGCTGGTCTCAATCTGATCCGCGTGTTCAAGGCTGTGGAGAAGGTGAAGAACCAACACGATACGTCAGATTAATTTCCGCCGCGATGCAATTTTCGGTAACTCGTAGCGTCGGAGGGAAAAAATAATAGAGAAATTGACAAACTCCGGGACAATGAGTGGAACAATGTCCGGTCGGCGGTGGTTCTCGAAAGCGAAATAACCGACGCGACGACCGGGAAAGTCGGGGGTTAGCCGAGTCGACCAATATCGGGTTTAATAAAGCACACAAATCATGCATCCGCCGGTACATCGTCGAGAGAGAGACGGTTGAACCGCGTGCGACTTTTGTTCCCTTGGAGTCCTGCCAATCCCAGAACCAGCTGGCTCCATCCTCTCGATCTACTCCAACCACCTTTTCCATGATTTCTGCCATCCGTCCACTACACTCCAATCCGTATACAAGTGAACGTTTCGTCCAGGCCGTACGAGGAATCATATGTTCGTTTGCCCGATGCATTTTCTCACGCGCCGCGTGTTGACGTTTATCCGCGGTTCTGGGGGATGAAGATACGGAACGAGGGTAATGGCGTTCGGAAGGAAGAAGAGAAAGAACGAGAGTAATGGCGTTCAAAGGGAAGAAGAGAAAGAACAAGAGTAATAACGATAACAATAGATAACAATAGCCACGGTTAGGACAATTGTTTTGCAATCACTGTGACTCGAAGTTTGGACAGAATTTGTGTCAGGTTTAAGCGAAAGGAGGCTTTCCTGGTCGTGAAAAGTACCGTTTTCAGGATCGACAGTTTTGTGATAAGAATTTCTGAGCCCCAGAAGGAACTTCATACACACACACACCAATCAATTTACACTATTCCTCTGTCTCTAATAGTTTTCGAGATAGTAGACTCCCGTATAACGCGGTTAATCCGTTACGCGTTATAGGAAACTGTGGTGTACGAGCCAACCTTCATTGTCTATGTTTTATCAAATAGGAGGTATCGTGTTATATGAAAACAGTAGTCGCGATATCTTTGGTACGTTATACGGAAGTCTACTGTATTAAAGTAAATATCTGGTATACTAAAAAATAAAGACACACCATGTATATTACTTCCAACTTCCAGGGCGATTTTCACCCCTTCACTATGCACAATTGTCGCTATAAAAAAATACGTGTCGAATATTTTCTCGAGGACTACCATATACCACAAAGTTTCATAAAAATCGGTGATTGTCACTTCGAGATGTTCCTTTGTTAATGAATTATCTCACCGTAGCCACTGTCCCTTACATTAGCGCGAACAAACGTAAGCGAAATTTACAATTCCGTGATGTTCTTAACCCTTTCGTTACTTCCATTGGCGCCTGTAGGCGTTTTAAAAATGTTCTCGCACTGTACTGTTGGAGTCTTTTAAATTTTACAATTTTAAATTGTAGAATTTTGAAACGATAGGGCCAAACTAAGAAATTTTGCAGCCATTCTTAAAAATTACCGCCAATCGCCCACATTATGCATTCAAATCTACCACAGCGAAAGGGTTAAAAGAATGGCGGCGTGTCGGGACGAAACACCTAGCAAAACATCTACATCAGTGTTAAAGAACCGCGAAGACAAGATCTTATCTCGAGCACCAGCGTAGATCAATCGAGTTTTACGATTTCTCCACCGTCTGCAACGTCGATCGCAGAATTTCTACACCTACCCTGATAAATCCACTGAGCTACACTTCACAGTTAAATCGCAACCACGTGTCCTTCCATCCTCAACGCACGTTCCACCAGCAAGGACATCGTAAACGTTAATTCATCATTCAGAAGTCTCGCACAGTCTCCTGGGTCTGACAAGCGGACAAAACACGAGACGAATCATTCGTAGAACCCGACGTTCTGCATGTAAACTTCTCTGTTTTTCCTCGCAGAAAGACATTAATTTCCGACTTTTCCACCCCCGTCGTCTTACCTCTTCCATCTCTCCGCCGTCCTCCCATCGCTGTCTTTTTCCATCGCGGACGCAAAACATCCCATTACACCGGAGAGAAATCAAAGGGAAGAAACGCCGCGCCCCTGTTGGAAAACACACCTATATCCGAATGCGCTTTAACAGGTCATTACTCGAATTACACGTCGGCTGGTAATACGAGAAATTACGTGTACAAATAGTGCCGGTTATTTGACGACCCTCGACGCGCGGACGTCGCTGAAATTACAACGATAATTTAATCGCGCGCCCTCCCTTCCCTCTCTTCGCACACAAAACTGTCTCCTCCTGCTCGGGGAGAAACCACGCGAAACGAAACAGCGTGTAAAGCGCGGGACTTGGTTAATACACGTAAAAGTAACGCGGTTGAACATTGTAGCGAGGCTAGCCCCGTAGCGAAGCGAATCCAGTCCAGCAGCAGGGGAGGAGAGAAGTTGGAAACTCCGAGTGCTTTTAACCTATAGGGTAGGGGAGAAACGAATCGCTTTTCTCGACGAGATTCCACGGAAAATGGAGGAAAAAGATGAGTGTTTCCATCGATCCAATTAAACGTCGAGCTCGCGGAACATTCGCGCCAGCCGGCCTGCACAGGCAAATTATCCGCACAATGAAGCACGCTTTCCGGGAGAACGATTGCTGGCTTGCTATGCCTACGACAGACAGAAAGAGAGAGAACGAGCTTCCTTCGAACCTGCAGGTGGCGTTAATTTGTGCCTAGACAGACGAGCCAGAACAGTGTGCCGCACTACTTCCTGTGTATATATACGTAGAGCAAGGTGTCTTTCTTAGAAGCTTCTGCGTCTGCAACCAACCCCCTTGTTTCTCTCTTACGCGCGTGAAACACGGAACGATTTTAATCCTACGCAAGAGCTACTGTCACACGGAGAACAGCGCGATGTTCCAGGATCCTCTGGCCTTCCGACTGCTCGTTACAGCTAGCGGAGAGATGTCTTAATTGTTAAAACAATAGACGTGTCTGGTGTGTGCGCGTGCAAAGAGAGAGAGAGAGAGAGAACGATAAGACGAATCTGAATTTCAACGTTGTTCATTTCTCCGCGGTGACATTCGAGGCTTTGCACGCTGCGTGATGTTAGAAAAATGAAGAGTACGGGTTATTATAGGCGACGAGAGATAGAGAGAAGGATTCCACGGGAAATGAGTACTCGGGATGCAATTGCTTTACGAGGGAGAGACATTGTCTGGCGTGAATTGCATCGAGAGAAAGGAAACTGGAGAATACGAGTGTTTCTGGGAACAGGACGAATTTGCTGGGATAAAGTCGGAAGGGAGAGTCGAGGGTGGAAATCGGTTCTGAGAGAAACGACGTTAACGAATTCTGACGCGACGGAGGAAAGATGGATTTACTCGAGAGTGTACCTTTTAATAATTGTGATTCTCTGAGTATTTTTCATACGGTGTTTTGTACGGGGTGTCGAGTAACTGGCGGTACACAAGGGAGCAGAGGGTGGTTCTACGTGAAAAACTGAATCGAAAATGTGGAATAAAATTTTTTCCTAAGAAGCTTTGTTTTGGAAAAAATTCAATTTAACAACGAGCTACAAACTGTTGCTTCTGTTCATACTTTTACGTTGACAAACAGTGGTAATGGCACATTTCGCGGAGAAATAGTCGACGCAGAGGATAGTGTAAATCTGCAGCTAAAAGGAAGAATGGTACAGGGTTTCACAGAATTGTATCTCGATTTAAAGAGCAAAGATTTGTCTGCGTTAACAGACGTTACTTTCAACAATTCGATTAGTCACGTAAATTTAAATTAACCCCTTGACCTACACCAACGTGTCAGACTCGTGGCAGAAATTCTATTCAAGATGTGAGAAAAATAGTTACATCAGTAAGAAAAATTCATTGTAATCCTAACATTCGTTTTAATTCACAAGACTGAGTAATCAATCTGTAACAGAGCAGCTAAAACGTTAAATGGCTGACGCTTAGACGCAAAGTCAGAAAAGAAATCATAGGTTAAGGGGTTAAGGAAATCGTTGATAAATGTATTATCGATACTTTTCATGAAATTTGTTCATGAACATTTTCTTTTCTTTAGTTTAATACTTCAAAGCAGTTGTAAAATACGGGCATAGGATTAGCCGAAACGCGTACCCTCGGTAAACTCATAAACGAACGGCGTTTTCAAGACTCGGTTTTACGATCTCTTGTTCCGACTTCCTAATTATTAAGGTAGTACTTTCCTTCTTTCGTGTCCGATCTCCCTTTCTTTCCGGAATTTCCCAATACCCAGACACCACTTTTAACCTCTCTCCATCTACTTAAGAAACACCCTACGACCAATAATCGAGTTTCGTTTCTTCACCTCCCAAATTTAACTCCGCCTTCGGTAACTTAGATGCATGTCCTCTTCCGAATTTCGAACCAGTCTTGTTCAGAACGATCAACCAAATTTCTTTTATACCATAACGCTCGAAACGAAGTACTCCGTGACCGCTTCAGGCCTCGTTAAAAAAATATAAGTTTGCGATACACCGCAAGCCAACGCGAGTGCACGACAAAATTAGTGTCGTTTATTGGAACAAACGTAAAGCCGTAAATTTTCAAGCTTATTTTTCTCGAAAACGAAGCTTCTTACGAACAAATTTTATTCCACACTTTCCACTGCTCGCTTGTACCACCGCTTACGCGACACCCTGTGTTGTATTCCGCGGCTCGCGATTCCTTGCGTTGGTTTATTATTTTCAATAGGTACGCGGTAGGAGAGCCTGACGGAAACTGGGGCGAAATAAGGATGCTATTCTGCGCGTAGTACTATTCGACTTTATTAGACAGTTCGGTGACGTTCGGTGCGTGAAGACCACTAGACAGAAATCTGCTGTTTCGACGGAAAAGGTTTCTAGATATAGGTTCGGTAAGTACGAGAGTAGGGGTTGGTCTCAGAGGTCAATGTAGGGAGAGGCGGTGAGGTCTAGGTTCAGCGATGAGTAAAGGATGATGTGGAGGTCTAGGTTTCGGGGGTGACTAACGTTAGGATGATGCGGATTTGTTTACAGTTAAGGAAAGGAGGCAGGATGAGCGTTATCTTTCGCGTGCCGCGTTACGATCTCGGGTGGATGTTCGCCCCGTGAAAGAGATGACCGACGCGATACGATCGAGAAATAAAAGAACCTATTACGAGTGGTCGAAGATAAAGGAAGAAAAAAGGAAAAACGGAGAAGAACGAGGGTGCATTTGATTAAAAACATTCGGAATTTATGGACGATAACTTTGGCGGGATGGTTTTCTCTTACCTACGAATCATCTAGACGTCCATTAACGTTTTAATTCCCTCCGACAATTTTTCCGAGTGTTCTGTTTCGCGGGGGGAGAAAAAAAGGAAATTCAATTTGAAGATAAAACGTATGAGAAGTGTGAGAGAGAGAGGGGGGAGGGAGAAAAAAGGAGAAAAGTAGCAGGAATTACGCGGTGGAGACGCTCGTAACGTCGACCGACGATGCTTTATCACGACGCGGCGCGAGACACGGGCCCGCGAGGACGACAATAAAAGTGGATTTGATTAGGGAGAGGTGGAATCGTCGAGTGTACACCGCAAGCTCATTTTAATTTCCGACCTCTAACCGCTCGAGAGGAATGCGCCGCGTTTTCGTTCTTGTTTCGTTTAATTGTGGAAGCAAGAGGCGAGGTTTTGTACAGCAGCCGACTAGAACGGACTTGGGATAGAGAAAAGAGAGGGATCTATTGGTGAAACGGAGCTGCTGATAAAATATCGTACGCCTTTTCAGCTGTGTTTATGCTATACAGGGTGTTTTTGGAAGAGGGTGAATGTGGCAGGAGTAGAAATGAATAGTTTTTGAGGGGATTCGCATAATTGATTCGTAGACACCGAGCTTTTATTGCGTTGATTTTTGCAAGCTGCCGGAAAAATAGCAAAATATTATCAAAATTAATGATTGTTAATTTTAGATTAATTAATGATCGGTGTGTCTTCGTTCTTTTTAAATAAAATTTTGATTGTACCCAAGAGTCATTGTAGCAATGCATGAAGAAATAATTCGAAAATACCGAGTAACATTTTTTCGTACGAAACTTCATTTCTGAGTAAATCAATGTCGAAGAGGTTCAAAATTTTGTAACACAAGTTAAAAAAGTAGCGGAAAAAATATTATTTTTCTTGTAAATCAGTCAAAAATATGTACTTTTTGTCAGATCGGCGAAAAAATGTTATATATATTTTGGCGGGCTGTAGAATTTTGGTAATTAGTTTATGTGTGCCGTGAGATAAGAAAGGTTGAAAAATCCTTGCTGCATAGTTTAGATGCAGCTTTATGCGAAAGCCATGAATGTGCAAGTTTCCACTTTTTCAGTAAAGAAGTGAGAAGAGAAGACGATAAAAAATTATTTCACACTTTTAACATGTGCTTTAAAAATGACATTTGCAAGAAAATTTCAAAAATATTCATCTCCAGAAATTCACGTTCAATCGTCAATTTTCATAATTGACCAAATCAACATTCACGATGTCTCTCCTTCTAATTAATACCCTACACCACAGGACAAGAAAAGAACTAATTGAAAATACAACTGCAAACACCTAATCCCATAAAGCAAAATTCTATAGACCAGACCTCGTAACAAATAGCTCGACGACAAAATACAATAACATAAAATGGTCGTTTCAACTAAATAAAAAGCAATAACGATGAAATCTCGTTGTTTTACTGTCTCGGGGATATTTCAGCTTGTGAGATCTTTATTTTTACACGTTTTCCCCACTCGTCGAAGGGGAAGCGGGGTTAAAGGATTATATCTCGTTGACCCACAAAACGTAGAACGACGGCGAGATCACGATGGAAAAGGCGTCCTGCCGATGGAGGCGCCCCGTTTCAACCGGCCATTGCTGTTAAACGATTAAAAAGTGAAGAAATACACGA